ATCGTGTGCCAGCCTCGAGTGTTCGATAAAAACTAACGTGAGTGATAATAGCCGCTTCGCGGAAAACGTCAACCCTTAGGATTAGACGTACATACACGTGGAAACGCGAGTTTTTACGCTGTTTACTCAACACCTCTGACGATCTGTTATATGACGACAACAAATGAGAATATGCATCCATCATGTCTTTCACTCTCGCTATCAAGAACGCACTTGTTGGGGCTCGCGAAATTGATAAGCGCAACTGATGTCAACGCAAATGTCGACCGTAGTCTTGAAATCTCTAAACAACTGATATGTAGCAAATCTTGATTTGCCAACGAAATTATTATGTTTCGCATTATCAGATGTGATAGTTTTAAAATTCAAGAATATAATTACGAAACAATGTTTGCGTTACAATTACTGAGAACTAATAATTAAAATTACTTTTGTTAATTTTCGTCTACAAGAAAATGAAGTAACAAAAAAGAAAAAGAAAAAGAAAATCTCATTAAAATATAACGATTCACGTAAAAAAGAAATAGATTGAAATTTTCGAATTTGATACCAATTTTATTTATACGAAACAGAGATTCTTTAACGCGATTTAAATTCTATTCCTTTCTTCTTTTTTTTTATAATGTTATAATTGCTGGAACTAACAGTTAAACTACGAGTAAATGGATTAACATAAAAAAGAGAGATACATATTAAAATGATGATTCGCGTAAAAGTTAAAGAAATAGCTATAGAGATTCAAGCTGTATAACAATGAAGACTTAATTTATACAAAACAGATCCTTGGCGCGACTGAGATCCCATTTCTTTCTTCTTCTTTTTTCGGAGTGTATTTAATGAGGCGACATTTAAAAGTGCGGAAACAGCAGCCGCGTATCGACGATAGTTTGCTGCCACATTTTGCGGAGGACGTCGAGCTCTCATCACTGAAATGGGTCACTCGGCATATTCTCTCTCCCTCTCTCTCTCTCTCTCTCCCTCTCGTACGCTTACAGATGCATACGACGGTGCTGTCTTTGTTCTATCCTCTCACGGGCATTTTCCCGGACGATGCACACGTGGACGGTGTCGTGTCTTCCTGACAAGCTGTGCAAACGGAATTTTCCTATTGTTCCGTCACACCTGCCACCGTCTCCCCGGTGCGTAGCACAGTATGCGCGCATACTTTCCGCATGCAAGCGTATGTTGCGGTTCGTCCCGCAAACCGCGGCCTACTTTAATATCCTCTCTTTATGCACGTGAGAGCCGATAGATTCGCGCTTACCGCGAGACCACCTCATCGTTTAATAGCTGTTGCGTTCGAGGGAGCAACTCGCGATAACGTCGACCGTCGTCATCGTGTTAAAATGTATCGTGCCGATACACACCTTGGGGAAAAAATTATCCAACTTCTGTCTCCTTTATCTTCGCTCCAGAAATTTTTTGCCGCTACAGAAATAACATTCTTTATTTATCGTAACACAATTTCAATTTAGATAAATGTGTTTGGAATTGTATTCGTGCTACGTTTGCAATACATGGTGTTGTCATCTTCTTTGGTTTTACGTCAGACTTTGTAAAAAGAAATTCTCTTCTGCGTAAATTTTATGAAGAATATTTTTATGATACAGTACAGTACAATACGATACAGTATTAAATTCATTATGTTAAATTTTATCCAATTTGAATTATTTTTAATCATTGTTATAGAGCGCCCCATTGCTTCTACTTAATAATTAATATATCATTAATTTAACTAAAACAATGAAGTCAAATAATTTAATTCAACAAAATATATAAAATGACTCAAATTTAATTTATTATTTACTAATAACGTTGATGTGGACGATATTTACTCAGAAATAACTACAGAAAGGATTGATTTACATTTTGATACACGGAAATTAAAAATAAAACATTATTTTTTATTTAAAGGGTTGGATTATCATCGCTCCTTTGATATTTAACAGTGTAGGTACTCGAGAGCGTTGTTTTCTCATCTTTTCTTTATGCAGATTTCAAATGACTTCTAAAAGGCACTTTTAATTTCAACTTCACCGAGGTACTACAAGAGCTGATTCCAACGCTCGAGTGTACGCAGTCTCGAGACAAGATACCTTTCGTGTTACGGGAACAGGGAGATGGTCGGGTTGCGACATAAGGAGTTTGCACATTTACGAATCAAAATGTATTGTGTTCCCACGGGTAAAAGTAACGTACATCATTATACAATCGATCTTCTCCGCACGCGTACGAGTTTAATTTCCCTCGCAGGAAATACCTACTGCGCTCAAGCACAAAGGCCATGGGAAATATTTGACAGCTGCTCCGCGCGCCGCGATCGATCCCATTATTTTTTAATAATAATTGCAGCGGTATTGTAGACCGGTGTGTTAGCGGGGGCGTGATTGCGTGGGCGCGATTACGCGTTATCGCATCCCGTGATCGTCGACATGCTCGAAGAATCATTTACGTCGAAATATATTAATCGCGGACGTCGGCTATCGTTCGAATGGATCGGGTTCTGTTCAAATTTTTTATCGTACAAACATCCGTTTACGACGTCGACCGTTATCTTCGGTCGGCGCGATTATCATTATTGACTACGAAAAGCAGGTACGCCGGTGAAAAACGTTATCGATGCTCGG